TTTTAATAAAAAAAATTTTTGCAATAAACTGAAAAGTAAAACGGTGTAAGAATTTGATACACTGTTTCATATTGTCTTATACACTACTTTAATTTTGAATTTTGAATCGTCTTCCCTGGCAAACAATGCAATAAAACAGCGTACAAAACAAACGTACATATGTACATTATACTTGTTTAATTTTGTTTAATTCTATATGCATCTTCATGTATAAGACAAATATTTTTAACAAATAAGTATTCTGTTGGATTTTGTTGATCAGTACAGAACTTAAAGTTATAACTTTTTTAATAAGTGAAGCAAATAATTAATAATTTAAGGCAAAATTTTATACTCACAACAATTAAAATAATTTTGTTGTGTCACGTAAAAAGAAAAGGAATAAAAATTTTAATGATGAAGAAGTGGTAACGTTTTTCGAGAAGTCACCAGAAAATTCTATTACAGACTTTTCTTCTGGCTCTGATGACAATTATGAGCCTAGCAAGAGTTCAGCATCTGAAACGGGTGAAGCGGAACCAGAAAAACTTACAGAATGTTTTATAGACTAAACGTTTGATAATGAAACCATTACATCTACATCACCGGAAACACTACTCGAAAAAATTTTATAAAGTACTAATCTAAGTGAAAATGTAAAAAAGCAATAAAAAAAATTAAAAAAGAAAGAATTCAAAGCAAAAGAACGTTACAACGGAATTTGCAACTGCCAACACAATTGCGTTGAAAAATTTCCTTAAGATGCAAGAATTAATAGTAATAATTCGTATTGAAAGCTGGGTGATTATGGAAAGAAAAGATTATTTCTAAAACATACTTTCACACACAAAGTATATACAAGAAAACGACCGCGAATGTCTCGAAAAAATTTTACGCCTTGTTATACATTGTATGGTAAAACCGTTTGCAAAAAAGCTTGACTTAAGCATTATAAAATACACATAAAAGTTGGCTAGCATACTTATAAAAGAATCTTTAATACAAAATTTAATAACTCGTTTCATGTGCGCAATATGAAAACATGATCAATCAATCTTAGTTAGAAACATTCAGTAGCATTTTATCAAAACTTGGCAGAAAAAGCCTCATCTAAACATAATTTATCTAAATTAAACGAACCAAGCTATTCAGAAGACGAGATTGAAGAGCTATAATTAATTTTTAAAACTAAGTTTCAAAATTTCAAGTAGAAATAATGTACATTTGAATTATCTTTTATGTTAATATTATTTATTTTGTTTACAACTTTTCATGTTAAATTAATATCGATAAAAATACCTGTTTATATTTTCATACGTTGAGTTAAAGTATGTAATGTTAATTTTGTTTCTCAAATTATATTAATTTTTTACAAAATAAAATAACGTATAAATAAAAATGAAATGGTGTATACCATACAAAAAAATTAAAATGAAACAGTGTATAACTTTCTTCATACAATTTCTACCAAAAATAAAATAGTGTAAGAAGTACCAAGAAATTTCAAACCTCTAATTTTCTAAGATCTACAAAAATTTATTTAATCAAATTTATGCAAACAAACTATTTATTCCCCCAAAAATGTTTAGCATAACTTTTCAGGATAGTCAAAGATGACAACCGGAAGATTTTAGATTCGAAACTTCATTTTCATTTTGCAAAAAACTTCAAACGCGATTTACTCAAAACTATACCTTTTTTTATACACTGTTTTATTTCTCAGCCGACGATATATATACATACAATATGTAGGTACACAATATCATAGTATTTTCTATAAATCCTTTACGTTTTATTTTGATATAAATTTAAAATTATAATAAAATATTTAAGTATGTATAAATAAGAAATGCTTAAAAATACATAAACATATATCAATATATTAAATTATAATATAACGAATACATCTTATATACATATATGAACATATACATACACATATACTCTTGTATATAACATAATTATGTATAAATTTTGTCGTTAATTAAATGTCTCCAAAGTACTTGTAAAACAAAATAAATTAGTATAATAATGTTTGTTCTTTTTTCAAATGTACACATTATGTATTGTACATATGTATGTGTACAGAGTGTACGGTAAACATGACGGTATTCCTACAAGAAGTAGGATGATAGAATGAATCTGGATGAATAACAATTTTTAGAGAATAGATTTTTGTTTGCTCCTTCCATCTCAAGTAAATTGAAATAATTTGACGTCACGATTTTTGTTTCGTAGACATCTAATTTCGGAAATTTTCAACTCATATTTAATATGAAGTTCATGAACTCTGAAAATATTTAAATTTCCTTTTCGGTAAAAAAAGTCGCTGACAACAATAATGTTTTCCTATAATATAAATGTTATGAGCATTAAAATTATTTGAAAAGATTTCATTCTATCTGTTCGATGTTATAAGCAAAAATGTAAAATAGTTTTTGTAAATTAGGTGAACTAATTCATATTGGTATACTCATTGTCAAAATTTTAAAAGAGCATACGAACTTTTTTGAATGCATATGTTTTGCTGTTTTCTGTATAACCATTTTGAAAACCCATTTTGTAAAATCCGAAATATAACAATTTTTTTTAAGATAACATACGGCACTCCCACTAACTCTAAAGTCTCATAATTCGAGAAGAAACGCAAGCAGAGGAAAATGTCTGTTAATATTTCTGGGCGTCTGAACCTATACTATGCTTCGAGGGATGTATCCAGTATTGGACACCCTGTCCAAATTGCAGACTATCTTAACATCGAACAACTAACTAACTAACTATATGCATATGTACATACATATGTTTAGCAGTTTGAAAAAAAAATTTGTTTTTTTTTAGTATTGTACATGATCGCAAAGATCAGGTATTTTTTTTTTATTATTTTTTTTTATTTATAAATCTATTTTATGTATAAAAAAAAATTGTATACAATTTTTTATATTTTATTTATTTTGATACTCGCAAATCGCGTAATGTGTATGTTTCATGATGATGATGATGAAGATGGTGATGAGCAATGAGAAAAAAATTAAAACAAAAAATAAAAAATCAAAGGAAAAAAAAGAGGCTTCTGAGGGGCATAAAGTTAATTTTAAAATTATTTTTAGAAAAAATAAAAAAAAAAACATGGGAAAAAAATAATTTTTTTCCTCGTGCAAATACAAAATTTTTTTTTTTTTTTTTTTTTAATTTTATTTTATTTATTTTAGCTAATAAATGATTTGTTTCATGAAATATATATTTTTTTTTGTATACTAGAAAGCATGTGTACCTACAATGTCTCTCTATTTTAGCTATGCAATTTAAAGATTATCTTAGGGATGACAAAATTTTCACATATAATTTTGAAATTGTATAAGTAAACTTTGAATAAAATTAATCCTCATGTTGTACTACATAGATATTATTTTAGAATTAATGCAGATTGTTCCAGAAATTGTAAGAAACAATTATTGTAGAATTAAGATTACATATACATAAGTACTTATTATTGTCATTCTGTTAGTAAAGCACTTGGTTTTTGGCGGCTTCTTAAAAAAAAATTGACAAATTATTGTTATTATTTCCACTGTGCTCCACACGAGGCCGTCTACTTTTAAATATTTTACAATTTTTTAGATTAGTAGCCCTATACCTTAATAATCACAATAGTACCTTAAATTTTTTGAAACAGCAATTGTTTTCCTAAATTAGACTATTACAATAGTATTATAGTAATAATCTTTCTAATTTCTTTTTTTCATCCTGGATGTATGCAATAATATAGTACAATTATAAGAAATTAATAGAAATTAAAGATTTTTTTTTGTCAAAAAATAGTATTATTTGACCTCTTAAATTTTTTTTAAGATATATTTGCTAATTTGCAAACTAATGATTCTAGGTATAGAATATTATCCAACGTTAAAGCCGATAGCATATTTGTTAATTAGATTTTGTTATTTTTTCGGGATTCTTACATATATAGATATTGAATTATATATTATATAGTAAATATGTATATACAGTTCTATCGTTTTGGTACTACAGGAATGCCTTATAGAACATCATCCAAAACTCATACCACTTAATGAACTTAATTAATTCGGATAAAGCTGAATTTATTGATTCACGGGTTTCGCAAAGACCTGGTGTATTTTGTATGGAAATTTAAAAATTTCTAATATTATTTTTAGTATAGATTTTTTTTTTGGTCTCCCCCAAATAGTTGAGTTGAATTTTATTATTAGTTTTTAAATAGTTATTAAAATTTTCAATTTTATTATTAGTTAATATTACTTTACTACTAATATATATTATATAACAGTAGTTAATTATATATTATTCTTGCCAAAAAAAATGTCAAATGTAGTGTAAAAACAAAATTGACTCACCATATTTCCATTACGAGCTATTGAACTATTAAGAGAAAAATTAGTTGAAATTAAAATATAAATTCAACATAGTTCAACTTAAAACCGACGAACAAATGAATTCACCTTATAATGCAATATGGATTGAAACTTCGTTATTGAGAGAGAGTGCAATCTCAGGATATTTTTAAATTTACTCATTTGTATTTATGATGGTTTGCCATCTCTGTTTATGTATCATACCTTCTATTATGTATGCATATACAAAATGCTATGCGTATATAAATTTTTTTGTATTTATGTTTAAAAAAATTACAATTTCAAAATTTTTTTTTGTATATTTCGAAGAAAATTTAACGTTGCTCGATCATTTATTTTTTATATGTTTTTTTTCCAATGTTTTTTTTCCAATGTTTTTTTTCGTTGTTTTTGCTGTTGTTTCGCGATCGCAAGACATTTTTATAACATATTTAATTTGATTTCTTTTTTATGATTAAAATTGTATATAGGTATTTTTTTTATTTATATAAGAAATATGTACAATATATAAAAAAAATTAGAACTTTATAAAAACATAAAATACAAAATAAATTGTTTTTTTTTTTTTGCTTTTTATTTTTATTAAATTTTAATTTCTATTTATTTTCATCTTATTCTTTCTCTTTTCAGATTATAAAAGCCAAAAAGAATACTACAATTTAAAGCTATTGCTAAATTTTAAGTAAGAAGAAATTATAGAAAAAAAAAATACCGACGACAATTATTATAAAGGAACTCTAAAATTATATACATGAATATTTAAATAAGTAATTAATAAGAAAAAAAAGCAAAAAGAAAAAAAAAACAACAACATCAAGAAAAACTTCAATATTATATTTATATCTTATATACACAAACAAAAAAAAAAAATAAAATTTCTTTATTGCGAAAAGTTGAGATTTTTTTCTCATTTCTTTTTTGGGATTTTCGTTTTTCATTTCGTGTGATTTTTTCATTTTCAAATTAAAAAACAAAACAAAAAAAAACTTGAAAAATAAATACAAAAAACAAACAAAAAAAATATAAAATTAAAATAAAATACATTGAAAATTAAAATAAGAAAGAAACAAAAAAGAGCCATAGAAAATGGAGGAAAACAAAAGCAGTTCTTCAGCAAAAGATGATTCATCTGTAACATTAACAATAAGGCTGATAATGCAGGGAAAGGTAAGCTAGTATATATACATAATTTAATATAAATGCATATAATACACAAAAAATAATATAGAAAATGTTATAATGAGTACATATACATAGTATACCGTTACATACAAAATATATTTTTATAATTTTTATTTAGTATACATATTAAAATGCAATATGTTTAGTAAATTTACTGTACATTAAATATTTGAATATATGTACAGTTATGTAAAACTAAAAAAATTTTTTTAGAAAAACAAAAACCATCAAGTTAATGAAAGTGATACAAAATGTCAAAGAAATACAAGTGTAACCAAATATTTATATACTGTCAAACTGAAGTTAATGAAATGTCATTTTTGACAAGGTGTAAGTCAATAGCGCGTATCACAATTTGTAACATTGATTACAAGAAAATAGAAAGAGATAAATATTATTTGTTTGTTATATATGATTTTTTCTTTTAATTTATAATTATTAAATACAATTTTCCAATCAAGTAATAATTTTACAATGGTAGCATTGGGCAATATTTAACATTCACAGCCATAACTCTCATTAATTCTCATTAGCTGATTATTATATTATGTTTTTGGATTTATTAAGTATTAGTTGTCATTGTTGAATTATAACATTTAAAAAACTTGAGAGAATAGTATTCTAGATTGTGTAAAGATTCAAAACGAAAGATCATGTAATAGTTGAAAGAGGATATAAGAATAATTTTAATAAATTTGTAAAAAATCTCGTAAAAAAAAACCTTGTCTTGGGAAAATCTATAGTCTAAAAGAAATAAAAATTTATTAGAAACAATTATAATATATTCAAAATCATAAAAAATTTTACATTCAATTGAAAGAAGACTCCACCATATGCAGCTGTTTGTGGGTTAACATAATGATAATATTAAATAAAATTAAATAATAACACGTATTGTAATAATAATTATTATAAATTTGAGCGCAAATATGATGTTATCAATTACTTTATTTAAGGTTATCTATAAAAACATGATGGCTTTTCTCTATACATGAACTAACCTTTTCAACAAATTCAACAGTAAAGTAATTTTGTTCGGCAAATAGTACGAAATAATTTTCATTCATTGAATACGAGTATAATGTTATTTACATAATGTATGTAAAATTTCAAATAAATTCACAAAATAAAGAAAATCTTTATTTGTACATACATAATTAGTGGTAATAGGTGCAAAACTATTCAAAATTACGAATCGCAATAAGGGTTATAATCAATGAAAATATTGTATAATTTTTTTTATTTGTTTTTTAATATTTACGCCCGTATTTGTTTACCATTCATTGTATACCTTTAGGCACAATTAAAATTCTTCAATCAACTTACATTTTTTAAGTTTACAACTACAATATGTAATTAACTCGAAAATTAATTTCGATTTTAAAAATATTGATGTTAAAGATTACATGTGAATTTAGAAAATTTTCGAAGTAATTTTGTAAAGAAATCAGCAATGATGAAATTATTTTACGTATATAATATAGAAATTAATTTTTGTTTTATATTTTTTCCCATAATTATTGTATACTTATATTTACAATTTTTATATTATATAAAACATGAAAATTTTTAGAAACACCAATAGAAAATCAAAATTTATGCCTACATATTTTCGGATGCCAAAAATAAAACATTCAATTTATTAGTAAAAATCAGAGTGGATTCGATTCGACATTGAATTGAGAGGAATACGGCCCACATATTTTTCAAATATATTTAAAATTCAAATTCACTAATATTTCATTTGTGAGTTTGTAAGCTATACAACACTAATTTTCTCTTACAATTTTGTAAAAAATGGAATTCAGAACAATAGAGTGAACATTCAAATTTCAATGAATTATTACTTGGTTCATCGTCTGTCACTTTTCTCTTTAAAATAACAAAATTATAAAGAAACACTAACTTATATATGTAAAGTGAAAACATTTAATGTAAGTAACTTGTAGTTGATTTGCAAAAAAAAAAAAATAGTTTAGTCAAAAAGCATTTTATAGGTTTCTACTGTATTACAATGCTCTTTAAATTTTGCAACTATTTAAGTATAGTATAAAAGTAAATATAATTACAATTGCCATATAAAACACATTTACATACAAACTGTGTTTATATATAAATATATTGTATATATACATCCAAATAATTTTTTAATGCATATTGTGTATAGTACTTACACATATAGTTATTTATTGTCTCATGTCTGCTTTTATACTGCTATGCTACTATCCTCAAGGTTTTCATTGTAGCTTCGTATACAGAAGAATATTCAGGTATAGTCAACTGTAAATATTGTTTACATGAAAACTTTGTATCAAAAATTTTTATTTCCTATAATCTTCTATGTATACATATGTATTACTCGTATATACTTACTAACATTTTTTATGCTACATGCTTAATTTAAAAGAAAATTTAACTTTTAGTCACAAAGTAATGTAAAAAAAAGAAGCATTTAGCATTAATACAATTGACATTAAGTATTTGGTTCTACTTTTTTTTTTTTTTTTTTGAAATAAAAAATCCTTGTGAAAAAGGATGTTCTAAGGAAATATTTTGTTTAATCTAAAAAAATAAGTTATAATAATAATGTTTACTGCTCAATTTAGTATATATGTGATGTATATATACGTATGTATATATATGATATATGTGAAATAAATAATCTTATGTTTTGTAAGGGAAATGATATTTGACTATAGAAGAACTTGAAATTTGTAAATTAAATAAAAATTATTATGTAATTTAAATAATCTTTTCCGAAAATAATATTTAAATTAAAATTTAAATTGTAAGAGTAAATTAAATGCATTGAATTCAATCTACTCATTAGTCGAAGTAAATCTGCAATTTTGAATTTTAAATTGCAACAAAACTAGATTCAGTTTTTGAAACATAATTTTAAAATTTAGATGTTAAATCAGGGAAGTAAGCTAAAATCTACTAAAACAAAAAATTCGGAATAAAATTTGAAAATCGTATTAATGCATTCTACGATATTTAAACAAATATCTTGTTACTTATGCGAAAATATTTCAAATACTTATATGAATATTTCGTTTACTCAATGTTTTTTTTCCTTTTTCACTTCGAGGAGAAGCATAGGGCTAGTGTATGACATCATAGGTGACTAGCCTGCCGTTTACTCAAATAAAATCTTAATATTAATTTTAATTTTTATTAAATTGAAGTTATACATTGTTAGTTTTAACTAGAACAGCAGCTGATGATAAAATTTTTTTTTTTTGAAAAAATGCATCCTATAATTTAGTTGAAATTCATAATTAAGTTTTATCAAAAAAAAAAATTAAATTACACTTATTTGGCTTTAAATTAAATATGAAATTTATTAAAAAATTTTAAATATATATTTGAGATTTTCATATATATAATTGCAAACGTAATGTGCAACACAAATTTAATTAAACTATACAATTAAAACATAGTTGACATAATCAAAATGCTCTACTCATAACAATTTCGCTATATTATGACAATTCAGCAATGTTTATAAACACAGGAACATTTTGTTATGAATAAAAATATAGCAAACGTTAAGCTTAATATTGCAATATGCTGCGTTTATGAAAAGGCCCAGTATATATGTAATTTAATACTTTACTTGTCATATATTATATTAAAGTATAAATTCTATTTCGAAAATTTTAAAGACAAAAGAGACACCCTTACAATAATTATCACATGTATTGAACGTAGTCCGTTTTTTAGACAACATACTATTGTCTAGATACAACTTGTTTCCTGTATTTTACTTCCAAGGTGTAATATTGTTGATTTCAGAGAAAATTTTGAAAACGAAATTCGAAACCTACATTCATATATTATAATCACTTCCTATAAGACATTTTTGTTTTTTTTTTGTTTTGTTGTCAGCATATACTTTTGTGTTTAGACAGTGTATAAGCATGCATGTTCTTATAAAAAATTTTAATAATAAAACGCTTAAAAATAAGAATATTTTTTAATTAGCTTTAGAAATAATATTATTAATAGACCTTAAAAAATTATTATTATTATTATACTTACATGCATACTTATATGTCTGTATATATCTTAAAATATTGTAAAGGAAAAATACATATATCAACGTCTTAAATTTAATTTAAAGGGAATGTGCATGAATGTTTTTCATGTAAAATTATAATGGTAATTAATAAAGCAAAAAATTAACGTGCAAAATTAATATATACATAAATATTTCGAATGTACATATATGCGTGTATAAAAAAATATTTTTTAGGTTGATAGAATTTCTTTATAATTTTATCGGCTTTTTATTAAACATTAATGTTATCATTTATTATATAAAGATAAAGATATATGTGTATGTAAATATTTGTAGAAAAATAATACTATGATGCTAAATATTTACGGTATAAATCAGTATTTTTCAAATGAATTAGCAATAGATTACAGAAGATACATTGAAATATGCGAAAATTCAATTTTCTTGAATAAAAAATCATAAGAAAGGGAGTGATTTGGTGAGATTGTTCATATTTGTTGTCAAAATAAATTGTAGTACGAATTGAGATTTTGAAAATTTTCATATTTAGTCCAATTTTATGTGGTGTTCAGATTGTCTTTTCGACTGTGCTTACCCATCAACGAATTTGATGCATCCTAAATTATTGGTTATTTTTTATGCAATATTAATTGTGACCTTATGTAACGAATAAATTGTTGATTATTTCAGATAGGTGACTATAAACTGGCAATAGTGCTTTATGATTATACGCGGACGTATAGCCAATTCAAAATGATTGAATATGCTGCGTACTGTGTACTGCGAAATTTGTTGAGAAACATTGATGTACATTGAATTAAAATATCATAAAATTATGATTTATTATAATTTTTATATTATTTTTCATTAACTAAAAAATATTAAACGCATAAATAAACAAAAAGAAAATTTAATATTTAAATATTTGTATTGGAATTATTAAGGTTATTAAGTTCTCTAG